GGAGGGGGGAGCAGGAGATAGATAACCTGAGTAGTTGCATGCCTACTAAAGAAATGAGTTGGTCCTGGTACCAAAACAAACAAACAAAAGAAAGAAAGAAAGTCCTTCCCAGTCTGTTCCAGAAAGTAGAAGGGGCTGGATGCTTCCAAGTTATTTCTGAGGCCAGAGTTATTCTGATACCAAAATTAGGTGCGGGCAGCACAAGGAAATGGCAGACCAGCATCTCTCGAGTTAAGTCCAGCATGGTCAGGCTTATCTAGGAACAACATAACTTGACATATTAACTAAACAACAGCCCCAAAACTCATAATCATGTGAATAGCATAAGAACATGCATTTGATACAATTCAGCATCTCTTCATGATGAAACTCTCAGCCCGCCAGCAAAAGAACAGAACTTTCTCAACCTGCAGAGAATTGATAAAAACAGAAACAAAAATAGCAAGAAAACTCAGCATCATACTTCTTTGTGAGAGATTTAATGGTTTTTTTTCTTTGTGACCAAACCAAACTGGGCATGGTGACGCACGCCTGTAATCCTAGCACTCAGGAGGCTGAGGCAGGAGGATCGCTGTGAGTTCAAGACCAGCCTGGGCTGCATAGTGAGTTCCAGGGCAGCCTGAACTATATACCAAGACCTTGTCTCAAAAAACAACAGCTCCTCCAAAAAAAATCAAATTAGGCAAAGATGTCAGCTTTCACTATTCCTATTCAATATTATATTGGAAGTGTTAACAAATGCAAGAAATGAAAAAGGGAATAAACATCAACCAAGTTGGAAAGAAAGAATGCGTTCCCGTTCGCAGGTTATATGACTCTCTACATAGAAATCTACCCCAAAATATCCTAGAAGAAATAAATGAGTTTTAACAAAGTTCCTAGATACAAGATCAACATCAAAAATGAATCATGTTTCTATGCAAGAGGAATGAAAAATTGGAGACCAAACCTGAAAAAGTTTACAATACCACTTACATCAGCTCCAGTTGTAAAATATTTATATATAAAGCTAGTGAAATACAAATCTGTATGCTGAAAAGTGTAAAATCTTGATAAAAGAAATTGAAGGAAACTCCAATAGGACATACAGTGTTCATGGATTGGAAGACTCGGG